CCCTTTCTTGTCTAAATGTTTTTTTTTCTTTTCTGCTCAGCAAACAAACCATTTCGTCCGTGAATGTTTGAAGCTTATTTTTCATTTTAATTTTTGTTCGAGACAAGAGGAAAAGAAAATACTTTTTGAATCTTACGTTGTCCTTGCGATATGTACATGTCTAGTGAACAACTACGACAGTTCCATCTATTTCATTATTCATTATTATAGAATAATGTGTCTATCTGAATTAAATGGTTACCGAATATGTAGCTGCATAATCGATTTATTTATTCTGCCTATTGTTTGTATTTTGGGTATGTTTCACATTTTTATAAAATCAAAGAAGAAGAAAAGGAAAAGAATAGAATAAGAGGGATAGAGAGAGAAGAAGAGAGAGAGAGAGAGTGAGATGGAAAGGTAGAGAGAGAAAGAAAAAAGTGATCTTCGTCTTTGGCAAACTTTTTCTTAGCGGAAGTTTTTAACTCAAAAAAGACAAAAATGAAAATGTTCAGTAGAATGGAAGGAAATGCTTTTCTTAGCATGTCAAAGGATGCACCTTCTGCTCAATTTTCATCAAAAGTCCAAAAACGAAAGTTTCAAGTGTAACAATTATTGAAGAAAGATAAATGATTGAAGCAGTCAACCGACTTCTGACGTCTTCTTCTTTTGAAATGAAATACTTACGTGAACTGCTACGTGAACGTCATTAGCATACGTGCAATTGCGTGAGAAAAGCATATTCTATTTTCGAACAAAAGAAAAAGATGCAGTTGATGACGGCGAACAAGATGAAGACGAAGAAAGGCAATGTTGAATATGATTTTGAGGAGAAAAAAAATAAAAGAAAGAAAGAATGAGGAAGAAAATGGATAAAAGATGCAGAAAATAGAACAAACATGTATTTGTAGGTCTTATTTTGAATTGTTCATGCTTACTGGTATTCTCTAGAGTTCGCTCACATCCACTTGTTCCAGCTTTGATTATATTAAGCTCATGCGACTTACTTCAATTACTATTTTCTATTTTTGTTTTATTCATTCCAGCATTACATGATTTTACCGATTCTGATCGGTACGGTTTGTTAGGTAAGCATCATATGGTATACAGGATGAAGCTTACTATCAAGCATTGCAGGTCAAATAGCATATCTATCAACCGGCTTTCTATCTCCCTTACTGCTAGCATCTAACTGTGCTAGCATTTGGACAATCACATACATCTCCATCCAAAGACATCATGTATAAAAGAATATATTGCTATCGATAATTATTATTATTATATTTTAAGGCTATTATATCTCCATTGGAACATATGAAATCTCCTCGAAGACGATTTTTACCATTATTTCTTATATCATTGAGTGCTCTCATCTTTAACATGTGTAAATGGGCTGAATTTCATTGGAAATGGCTTGAAGTAAAGGTAAGCACACTTATCTTATATACATATAATTATAATTATAATAATATTATATTTTTTATAGAGAAAAGGGCAAACTCATTGGATTTTAGCACATGATCCATCTGCTTTGTTTGAAAATTCAAAATATCGCACAATAGTAAGCAGTTGTAATGATATAACTAGTCATAACATATGCTATTACAGGTTGATCACTACTTATACCCTATCTGTGTATATCTCATACCACTCATACTGTTGTGTGTATTACATTTTCGAATCTTAACAGCATTATCAACAAAACGAATATCATATAATCATAAAGCTCGAATGGTTCAAGAGAAGAGATCTGTTGCACTACTTATCTCAATTGTTATTCTCTTCTTTCTCTGTCACACAGGTAATGGTTACAACTGCTTTAGCATATCTCTTACTTCTTACTTACCTTACCCCCCTTGTGTTTCAATAAACTTTCTGAAGTTGTCAAATTGAGCGAAACATTAAAGCTAGTGAGCATTGTGAATGTCATATGATAATCCATATACACACAAATTCAAATATTCGTTTGAGCATGAACAATGCCCAAATATCATTCATCGCACAGCAGTAATGCACTGAGCGCTTGCTAACCTACCAAATACATCCATTGAACATTTCATTTTTGATATGCTAATCCTTATCCTTCTTCTACTTCTTCCTCTTCCTTCTAGATAACAGATTATATCCAATTGTTACAAGTTAATTGTTATAGGTGGAATTGTTTTCCGTTTCGTTAATCGACCAGATTTTCCTAACATCGATCTGCTAGTATTAATGGTTGATATAGTTAACTTACTATTCAACGTGAATTCCTTTGCAAATCCAATGGTACGCATAGAGTTACTCATCTTCTAAGCTAATTTGAATATTATTCTTTCAGCTTTATTTCTTTTTTACGCGACAATTCAGCGATCTTCGCGACAACTTCTTACAAGTTCATTTTCCGAACGTTCGTGTCTCCGGCGGTGCCACTTCTCCCATGGGACATGTAAGTTACAAAAATAAATTAAAAATTATAATTTTCTCTTATCTTTACAGAGTTTCGAAAATCGCTCACTACGGGTTACGGTATAATCTATGCATTTCAAATTGTTTTATTATTATAATTATTATTACTATTGAAATGAAAACATGTACATGTTTTAAATAAAAATTTGTCTTCAATGCTTTAGTGACACACTCACATACGCCAGGGATTGATAATCTTATGACCAAAATTGGAAAAAGATATTTGAAAATTGCAGATCGTCTTCCATTAAGGGGCAAGAGGATCAAGTTTATTTGTCTCTCTCTCTCTCTCTTCATGCCTTTCTCAATCTCATAGTACAGTGAGCGAGAAAGAGAGAGAAGAGAGTATTAAGTGTGATAGATGAAGCATCCTAAATGATCCAACACACACATTACATAATCACCTTTCGTTCCAATTTTTTTCACATCAAAGCCTTCGCTTGGGCAGACAAAATTTTTTTTTTTATTAATTGTAAGAAATCAAATACTTTCAGATCATTAATTATTCACTTCACTTGCTTCATTTAAACTTTTTTTTTCAACAGAAATCTTCTTTTCTGTTTAACACATGTAATCTAATGCTTCAACTCCGTATAAGCAAAGACAAACCTCTTGCAAGCAAACCTTCCCAATCTGATTTTCCTTAATATTTTGAATAAAATATTCAAGAAGCAAGAGATAGTGAGAGAAGTTCTTGCTATAGTCCGAAAAGGGTACAAACAAGCAAGCTATGATCTGAAATTTCATACATATAATGGAACTAACTGGTTTCAACTGATTTTTTAAAAAAGTTTTTGTCATCTCACCAGTAGTATAGATAATCATTGTCTTTCTTGGTATGAAAAATGATTTTAATAACAAAAAGATCGTCACAAAGAACTCAATCGTCTGAAGTTTGATAGACGAAAGACGAAGAAGAAGGATCAATCAATCAGAAATAGAGAGAGAGAGAGAGAATTTCCAGTTGTTCTCTTCATGTGTTGTTCGTCATTTCCTACCTTTCATTTCATGAAGAATCTCTCCATCATTCTTCTTTTTCTCTTTTAATTTTATGAATTTTTCAGATGTTTAAATATAGTTTTTACATCTTACTAACAGTTCCACTAGCCATCTATTCTCAACAACTCATATTTCCACATGGTTACTTTGATAGTAACAAACTCAAACCGTTCGATGCTATCTATCTGAACATGATGGCTCAATCGAACTTAGAATATGGTGGAGTTACACTGAAAGTAAGATTATCAATTCAAGCAAAATAATTTTCTACTATGTGCATATGTTTTTAAGGAGTTAGATGCTTTGGATGCTCAACGAAAGCTTATACCTCGGCCACCTATAGGACGAGTTCGAGAAGAAGATGCCAAGATATTTGATCGTCCACCAGTTCAAACTGCCCCATCGTCATCGTTATCATCATCTGGTTTGAATACAGAAAATCTCCTACGGAATCCTTTTTTTTCGTAATAGATGTCTCCATATCAGCAGCCATTCAAGACCATGATACGACAGAAAATTTAAAAAAGCCAAAAACAACAGTGCCGCCAACGGCCACGGAAGAACGAGTCATCAAGCCTAAATCTCCTTTCCAAAGATTTTTACGTAAGCAATTTGAAAAACAGTTTTCATGCATACTCTTCGAGAATTCCATTATTGAGTTTGATCTTATCTTTATTTATTACAGAAGACGAGCCAGTAACGGAGGACAATCCCTTTGAAGACATTGCTACACGTTCTCCTCCAAGGAGCTCATTAGATTTCCACAAAGTTCGTAGAAAGTTGCACAAACATCATCGGTATGTCACATAAACAGGGAAATGTAAGAGACCTCATAAACAAATTCTTGAAGGACATCATCACACCATCATCATCATCATACCCATCATCATCGACATGAAGAAGAAGAGGATGATATTGAGCTGGATCATCTGCCATCAAACGAGAAACGTAAAAGTCTGAACAATACCCCAACAACAACAACACCTAAATCCATTCCAACATTGATTCCTCTGTCTCAACAGTTAGCGAACCGCTATGGATTCAAACGTCGTCCTAATAACCCTTACAATTCCATTAATATCCGTGAGCCTACTATTATCCGTCTGCCAATCCCAGCTCCTGATGAGGATGACTTGAAGTCATCACAAGAGTTTGTACATAGAACATAATATAATATTTAATAAATATGAATATACGAGTACAGTATTGATCAACAACAGTGATCTGTGGGATCAGGAGTCTGACCATAAAAGAACATTTTAAACTTCTAAACTAAGTTCATGAATATCCTTTAATGTATTTTCAAATTAAATATTTCCTGATTCATCACTATTTAAGTTCAATGAATTTTTCAAAATTACTTTTTTTTCATAGGTAATCTGTGAACGAAACCTGAATTGTGAAATCCGATTGAATATCCTTATTGATCACTCAAACACATCTATCTCGATACAACTTCATGTGCTTATACTCCCAATATAATTATTTTTCTTTCGTTTAGTTCCTGATAATGAAGTCTATGCTTAGTACTTACTCTGTCGAATGTATGCACTAACGCTAACCACATATAAGTAATGAGACTGCGAAGTCGGCCATTGATATATGTATTTGTAGCTGTTTCGCTTTATTCATTTTTCTTAGTCTATGAACGAAGGTGAGGGCATGACTTGAATAGAGCTCAAGTAACTGGTATATATCTTCAGAAATATTATTTATCCAAAACAATTAGCAGACAATCACACAAATTTTCGAACGATAACGTTTGAATCATATGGTGAAGACTTCTGCGTTGCTTATAACGTTGTGACTTCAAGAAACACGTAAGTCCCATTGAAGTTTTTGAATTCCAAATTAATTATTCATGAGAGAGATAACATCAACAGACAGGCCGAGTACGCCACGTGCTATACACGTTCACGTCATTTATGTTGATAAAGATAAATCATTTTGACTATACTGCACCTGCCAATCGGTTGATGAATACAAACTAGAGATGATTTCGTAATAATCGGAGTGTTTGTATTGCAGCTTCCGTGAAGATGGTTTGGAACCAATATCTTTAGCAACCCATACCACAGCAACTTATCTCAAATATGTTATCGAACAAGTAAGCATGAACAGTTCTCACATTCAAGCTGTCATAATTTAATTGCAATGAGGTGTGTTTAAGGTTGATACGTACGATGGGCCAATATCTTTAGCCGTCTACGTGGACAAAAGTACACATCAATCCATAACAGTCTTGCTCAGTATTCATAATTGTGATGCTAAGATTTCAGAGAAAGTATGTTTTGTAGAATACAGTATTTGAGTTGACATTGTTTGTCAGATTTCCGTACATATCGTTTATCGTAACTCAGCGTTCAGCAACTACTGCTCCAATGTTAAAATTGATTTGATCCCTTGTGCTAATCTTACAAAGCAATCAAGTTGGTGATTGTTTAGCTCCAAATGAGCTTGAATCTCTATTTAAGAAACAAAATATCTGAACCGATTGGTCCCATCATTCGGTATTTACCCTATTAATGTAATTAGAAACATAGCGAGGAGAGGAAGTCAAAGTTATTTACAAATCATCGCAGATATTGAAATGATTTTTAGGTGAGTTCTATCAAACAACATTTTCTAATATTTTGTTTAGTCGAAACTTTGCAATTGAGGTGAAACCAATAGCTAACAAGCTCATAACTGCAACCTCGAAACAGTTGATTGTCGTCAGGTGATGCTTGCCTATTTATGGTTTTTATGAAACTATTCAGAAGATTCGAACTAGATGATAAAATCAAGAAAGTTCCTCGAACTGTTAAAGAGTTAAAAGGCTTATTCGATAAGAAAAAGTATTACATGATTTCTTTCATAATATTACTTCTTCATGTTCATAGAGTGTTCGAATTTCATCATAAACTGTTCCCGTTAGGACATACAATACCTGGATTGTTCGATTGGTTTCGGAGATCAGATAAAGGACCCACAAGCTCATGGAGCATACCTTACAAGTGAGCTACGCTGTTGAACGTGAATCAGTGTTGGAGTAAATCTTATAGAGGGCCAGCTTGGGAGCCACAATTCATAATGCACAAAGATGCTCCACTGAGCGAAGAACTTATGCCTACACGAGTACGTGATCATCAAGCCTTGGTGAGAATATCTGTCCGAACCTTTTAATCATCCTTTTTTAGGTTTATGAATTATGCAGAGCAAACTATAAGTTTAACATAATTTCTACTCATTTCAATGTACATCGAGGAATAAAGAAGACATCAACCAATCTGGATACAGCCGTACGTGCTCATCAGTTTCGCTTCCGTTTTGAGTAAACCGAGTGACTGAAACACCGAATAGATAATTATTTTCAGAAGTAGAAAGAACTTTCTCAGACGAATTCAAATGACTTACCCTGATACATACGGATCTTGCCGAAATTTCACCATGTAGATCAGTTAGTTCAATAAACTAATTAAATTAACTGCAAATACTCTTCAGGTCATCACACTGGAACAGCTTCTCGGGTCCGAGATAATCGGAAGTTAGTAAACTTCGGACGATCAGGAGAAAATAGATTTTACTTCAGATTTTTGTATTTGTGGTTACAAATACTATTAGGAAATTGTATAGAAGACCTACATCAATGAATAAATTATTTCGCAACAGCTGATTTCTCAATCTGCCAATTTCTTTCAGTCATTAGGTAATTTTTCATTTACTCATTGCAACAAAACCAGTGAGCAATGAGCCAGCCACCCACCTGTCCAATATGCTATTACGCATACGGTTAAGTTGCAGAACTTCTGTTATTCACTGCTGATTACTACTTCAGATGATGAACTCGTCATCCCAAAGTTGTTGTCATGCGGTAACCATCACAGTGTGTGTCACAAATGTCTCGCAGAACTTTTGAAAACATCCAAGTTTTACCATTTAGCATGCGCTTGGTTATTATTCTGTTACAGTCCAAAATGTCCACTGTGCCAAGCTTCTCTTCAACGAGCTATGTCATGTTTCAGAGATAACAATGATATTATAGGTTTGTTTTCCACTCATTCTAATGTTCTTCCTAAACTGTTCTTCAGATTCTTTCAATTACATCAAACGAGTTCAAGAGCGTGAATGCTTAAGCAGTTGCTCAAAGTGTCATCTTCAAGGAGATGAAGAAATGTTCGTGGTCTGTAGTTCTTGTTTCAACAATGGTTCTCTAGCAGAAGTAAGTACTTAGATTCTTCCATTAGGAAGTTAATCATTATAGGTTGATTTGAAAGCTCTCTGTGTTGCGTGTTTTTCCAAATGTCATAAAGACCACGAAACAGTTCCTTTGGTTGAAATGAGAGTTTGTATATAATTTATGTTGTTTTATGGAAAAACGTTTTTAAGGCCATGAAAACTGCTGAGATGTTGCGATCTCGATTGGTTAGCTACACAAATTATAATAAGACTATTGGTTCATACATCTCCGAGATATTACCTTATCTCACTGAAAGCGAATCGGTTTACAAAGCTAGGAGTTATTTTTCAAAACGTGCTATCTCTAGTTATCAAACAGTCTAGCAGACATGGCTGAACATGCTAGAAGTTCCAAAATTCTCAAAAAAATAAGCAAAACATTTGACGATGACACGAAGTACCTTACAGAAGCAATCAAAAAGTTTCAAGATGAAATGGTTCTTACGTTCCTCACCCTTCTGAAGGTAACCTGAAAAACTCAATTCTCACTAATAGATATTTAGAATAAGATTCAAATTCAGAAAATACATATCAAGAGCATGAAAGCTTTCTGTACAGTGCAGGTATGCAAGTTCAATTTTGTTTTCAAACCGTTAGTATTTCAAGAAAGAAGTGCCCAAAAAACCGGAAGTACAGTTTCAAATCATCTCATCTGTGTTCCTGATTTTTGCTCTTTTGAAACTGCTTTTCATTCATTTGACGTGAGTGAAAGGAGAAGGTGTCGCTTTTTTCCATTCAAGAATCTTCGGAAGTGATTGAGGAACTGAAGCATCTTCTCAGAAAGGTATTACACTGTATTCACTGTATTATTGTAGGACAAGAGTGAAGAAGGAGAAAGTCACAAACGACAACACTGCTTCACAATAGATGAGAAGGATGTAATTGATCTTCATTTGGCTCACTTTGTTATAACTTTATTTGAGTATATAAAAGAACTATTAATTGAGCATATTTTGGTGACTAAAACTGTAACAAACGAATAATTGACATCAACAGTTAAATGAAGTTGTTTGCTCGAGAAGGCAAAGTTTCAACGAAATGGGTTTCAAAACATTCTAAAACACTTTAGAATAGAAGAGGCTTTTCTACATGATATAGTAGAATTTCTTGGTAACGTTTGTTTGAAATGAAAGTATAAAATGAAAGATTTCTTAGCCATCTAGTCACTATCGTAGGAATCAGCTTTCTCCGAATCTTCAGTGCGGTTTCTTCGAACCTTCAGATATGCCGCTAATTCAGCTCCACGCTTTGTTTTATACTGTAATGGTTTAGACTTGTATGATTTAACAGAGATTTTGATCTTACATTACTCCTATGCTTCTGAACTAAAATTTGACTGTACAAGCGACTTCCCTCGTCTTTACCGCACGCCTAAACGAACCATTCAGATCATATCATTCTTCAAGAATCCTACTTGAATCAAATGGTTTTTATTAAGAGCGAAAAGGGTTGCTCCCGTTTGTCCTTCGAACAACTCAATGACTCGAGCAGAAAATCCTTTCTGTTGTAACCACTCACTAACTTCATCGGCTGTTGTATCATTTTTGATAACAACAGCTGATTGCTGTTCATTTCTTTCCCTAACTTTCTTACGAAGGAACTGAAATTTCAGAAAGCTTTGTCTATGGAAATTTTCTTTTTCATACTTCGCCCGTGTCTTTTCCGATGGTTGAATTGAGCTCTTTCACAAGCTGAACTTCTTCAGGACTTCGCGTGGAAACCTTGATGACTTCTTTCTGACGAACTGGTTCTGCTGGTTTCTGAATAGATCAAACTAGGTTTTCTTCCGATTTGTCTCAACTACTTCTGTCTTTTTCAACTGTTGCTCTTTCAACATCTGGAGCATGGACGGTGTGGGAGGGGCTGGTGGAGGCTCAACAGGACTCTTCAATGAAAATGGTTAAATGCTTTCTGCTACCAGTTAGTTTACTTGTACGATGGGAGGAGGAATATTTCTCGGCGGAGCGTGTGGAAGTACTAAATTTGAAAAAGTTTGATTTTTAATTTATAATTTTTCTTTCAAAAATGTTTCGTTCCCTTTCGTGCAAATGAAAAGCTCTCTCAAGATTCTTATAAGAGAGAAAATGAATAAGAGAGAGTAGCCGTCACCAAAAAAAAGGTTGGAATAGCACAAAGGGGAAGGAAACAGAAGGTTTGAAAGAAAACCAAAATTACGTTTTACTCCATGAAATAAGTAAAAAAAGATTAAAATAAACATTCATTAAGCTAATATAAACTTGAATAATAAATAAGAGAAAAGGCACAATCTGTTCAGGCAGCTCATAAGATTAAAAAACAAATAAAAAATGAAAAAAAAAACAATTTTACGAAATAAAACGGGAAAAAGGACATTTTTGAGCTTTTCTAGGAGTATAAATGGATATGATGGAAGAGTGGGGGGAGACGATCGAAGTCTTCCGAATATCAAAATAGTTCTGATTGATCTTAAATGAAGAAAAAAATATGTTTTAATGGGTAAATGCCTAATGAAGGAGAAAACGATAGAATGACAAGAATTGTTGTGAAGAGGGAAGAGGGTCGGGGAAAGAAGAAGGGAAACAAACTGACTACCATGAGGAGTGGAAAAGGGAGTGGAAAAGAGGGATGACTTAAAGATATGAAATGAAGGATTAAGCTGTACAAGTTTCAATAAAAATCTTTTAATTACATAGTTGAGTTTTGAATAGAAAGTCTTCTGTTTTAATCTTTTGCATAACTTGAAAGGGTTGAAGGAAGGACGAATGGGGGGCGGGGTTTGGTTAGGAACATACGTTGTGCATTCTTGAAATAAACAAAATCTTTTGACTGATCTAATGAAGTAAGGTTAAGCTTATCAAACAGAAATCAACAATAAGATTGTAGCTTTACACAGAAGAATACAAAAAGGAAAGTTCAAATCATCGAAATTCGTCAAAAGCTAGCACAAACTAAGGGTGTGAAGACTTGCATGAACTTCTTTACATGTTGTTCAATAACAAGGTAAGGAAAGCATTCTATATGATTTCCATAAATTATTCAGAAGACATCGTGATTAACAACGTTCTGTCATGATTAGAATTTTGAAATTCCTGAGTGCGGCAATGTGAAACTGAAGAAGAGCTGAGAAAAATGCATGAAAATAGAAAAATTTTAGTAAATTTTCTTTTTTTATGCAAAAATTCTGTGAAAATCTTTAAGAGGCAGAAGGGAAGTGTGTAGTTTAGATATTTGAGACTAAGGAAACAGTGATTCTGGGATAGAAACGAGGGAACGATGAATGAATAGTGAATGAAGGTTCCTTCAGCATCATCATCTTCCAATGATTTTACTTACAATTTAACAATGCTCAAGGAAATAACAGAGGGTATATCATAAGTGAAATGAAGAAACTAAATAAAGAAGGAGCAGGTAGGTAAAAGAAGCTTTGAAATGAGCAGCAGGGATAAGGCATGAACGACATGGACAAAAACGATTTTGTTCAACACAAGGACATCTTGAGATGACGGCGGCTGATGGAAACGATGAGTTTTTCTCCTACTTCATCTACATCTCTGAATTCTTGATAATCTCTCCAACAGAAACAATGTTTCTGATAGAGAAATATCAAAAACTCAACCATTTCCTATTTGATAAACGAATGTTTTTTTAGAAATAACGGAATTCGCCGCGTTTTCCTTGTCGTTCTTTGACGTATGAAGGAGCATCATCCGGAAGCATACCTTGTTTAGGACTATGTTGCATGGACGAAGAAGGTAAATGACCATTAGAGCGACGACTTGCGATTTGCTGTAAATTTATTATTTTCAATTGTGGAACAGTTTTTTTCAATGTTGAACATACTGGATCGCCATAAATGTCCCGATTATCTCCGTAATCCATTGGAACCATGGAAAGAATGGTATGTGGAACATATCCAACACGTTGATGAACGTTACGGCACTCCCACCAGTTCTTAGTATCTTCTAAGACCTTCAATTTGAGAATATATAAGATGATTCAAGCTTTTTGTTCGTTTTACCTCAAGGTATTCTCCACGGCTTACAGTAAGCTCCTTTGCGTTTTGAGCTATGCGATCGAAGGTGGCGACAACAAGCTTGGCATTTCTTTCAAAGTAAATCATGAGCATGCCATGAGGAAAGAAATTGAATACCTGGATATGACATCATCAATGAAATCTTTTTGTCTTGGAGAAATAATTTCGGGATCTGGCAAGATTGGACGAGCTTGGTTGAACGGCGTTGGTCGTACGGCCAATCCCGTTGTCGCAGCGGAAGGAGGACTGAAATACGCGCAACATAACATCTATCTAAAAATAGAAAAACTCACGCATCATAGTTTGGTCTAACTGTGATGGCAGGACCATTATGAATAGGATTGATTTTTTCCTTCTGTATAAGAATACGTTCTGCCTCCATGCGAGCTCTTTCATCACTGGAAAAATGAACTAATAATAATAATATTCCAATACTGTTTATACCGAATTTTACGTTCTTGCTCTAATAAGCGACGTTCTCTCTCGTTCATTTCAGCTCTTTCGAGTTCCATTCGTTCACGTTCCAATGACATACGATCGAGATTAAGCTGAAATATTGAAATTAAACAAGATATTGGAAAAAAAGAAGATAAAATGAAAATTAAAACTAGAAACATAGTTTGAGGATTACATAGGTAAATTATAAAAATAGAAAATAGTAATTCAATGAATTTTAATTGGAAATTATCTTACGTTATCGACGCTGAGGTTTCTTTGTGGTCGTGGAGCACGAGGTCGAGATGACATTGGAGTATTTGGAGCCTAACAAGGAAAAATAATAGAAGATGCTCAACACATTTGTGATTAATGCTAATGCTGTGTTAGATGGTAAAAACATGCAAATGATGGATATGTAACATAACAGAAAGTTGTGGGTAAGTAAAGTGTGTATCTATCTGACTAGATGAACTAATGTTACTACTAAAGCTAAAAGACGGACACTGGAACAAGTTAGAAAAGACAGTCATTTCAACAGCTGACTATCTATTTCAAAGTTCCAGGTGATTGTTAACAAAGAGAAGCTCAAATTATTACCGTATCGACGCTACGATCACGACCTCTGAACTGAGCTGGTGGAGCTGATTCTCCTCTGTGGATAGGAGCAGGATAGTTGGGTCTGGTCTGTAATGAACATTCTGGTAAGTTTCAGTATATTATGGGGATAATACCTGATCTGGTAAACCGTATGGAGCAAATCCATCAGAAAATACAGGTCGATAAGATGGTGGTAATGGACCGTTCCAATCCTCTCTGAAATTGACTGAATTATCAGAAGGACGCGGTACATGACTTACGGTGGTGTTCGCCATGCTTCTCCCAAGCTCATCCAAACATCGGATTCTTTACTCGTCAAGCAATTTTGCAACAACTCACGAGCTTCCAATGAGAGCAGAGGAGATGTAATCTAATTGAGAAGATATTAAAGATTCGAAAGCTGTTTGTACCTGGAGAGCGATGTTGCGTCCAAGACCCCAATGACATGCTTGAAGAATAACAGTCAAAGGTGTGAAGAGGAAATGCAGTAACTCTGGAGCGTTTGGATCGTGAATATGACTTTTCAATTTAGCCTTAATATCGATTAAAAAATAAAATATTGAAAAAAGGAGAGCTTAAGACTTACCAGTAAATTGAATGATAATTTGAACTTTCTGAGAACATCAACAAATTCACTTTCCAAAGGTAATTGGGCTCGCATTTGTAATATTCCATTTGGATCAGGATGAGTGTTCTTCTTGTCACGTCGTGGAGCAGTTCGGTAACGGTGAGCCTATCATGGTGGATTATTTAACTTTCAAAAATTTAATTATTAACCTGTTGTTCTAATTCACGCTGGGCTAATGCAGCTGATTGAATGCGAGCAACGAAACGTTCGATGTCATCGAAGCATCGGTTGAGGGTGTTCTGAAAATATAGGAGATGGTATATATTACATCAACAGCAAAATGGAATTGAAAGCGCATGACACCGGTAGTGTGTGTGAATATTTAAATTTATAAATGAAATAAGACTTACGACATCACGTTCGAAGAGCTCAGAGCTATCACTGCTAACTGACACATCATCAGCTTGATATGGAGCAGCTGTAAAAGATATACGATTCCTCATTTCCAAAAATGTTAAAACGTACAATTTTGAGGGGAATAATATTGTTGTTGGGCAAGATGGGATGCACTTGAACGTCTTCCATTCTTAACTTTACGAACTTGTCCTTTGATGTAAGCTTGAAGATCATCAGCAACTTCAGTTGCAGCCACACGGTTACACTATAATAATGATGAATTATTATTATAATAAATAATAATCATATAGATTTATCGTTTATTGAATTATTTCATTTCATTTCATTAGCTATCTGTGTCATCAGCAGAATCTTATCAAATTCTTTGGGTCTGCTTGCTGAACAAGCCATATTAGGCTTATTAAATACCTATTCACATTAGCAAATGAAGTTGTTCATATAGATAAGAATTAAAGGTATATACATACATGTATAGTTTTACAAAATTAAACAACTCTGAAAATGGTCTCACCTGGAAAATATGCATTTCCGTTGGTGTTGTGTTTCTCTTATTACGTGGATCTTCACGAACTATGAAAAGTAACATGTTGTTGTATTGTTCACGAGAATCATTTGATAGATGAGCTGTTGGTTGCTCGATTAACTCCAATGGAAATTGTTCAACCAAATCCTACAACACATATGATATGTAATACCATGTTATATAGTTAGATAATATACCCCATTCTCATCTTCAACCGTAACCATGTGTGCACGGAATCTAAGGATTAATGGCTGAGCCCAAATTGCAGAATTTTTTTCCATTTGCTTCAACTTTCGAATACCATCGGCAGGAAAAGTTAAACCAAATTGCCTTGAATGAATTTGTTCAATAACTGATCCTAATGATTTATGTTCTACCTTCCTACAGCAAAGGTTGCTAAATGCTCCACATAGTATGATGGAGTCATTTCGTCAATAGAGTGCTCCACGCCGCGACGGGCTGTAGCTGAAACACACGTATATAGTCAAGATATCTGAGAAAAATCAGTACGAGGTACTACAGTCAGTAAAATACATTTTTGCAGAGAAATAAAAAGTATTAGAGTGTTATAATTCGGTTTGAATGCTAAGGGATTAGCACGCAAAGTTGATATGAAAGAATACAAGTCCAATGAATAACAGTTTACAATTGAATGTTACTTACCAGTTCGTTGATGGGTCATATCTGGTAATGTGTGGATTGGCAGATGATTTTGTGATCGATGAGACGATGTATATGAATGAGACGGGGAAGGTGCAGCAGACTGACTTCCAACTCGAGATGAATAGTAATATCCGGCTCCTCCACCTCCGCCAACAGATGAAGTCGGTCCTAAGCCAAGTCCTGGCGGTGGCGCTCTATAAACAACAATAATATAATGATATGAGAATAAATAGAAGATTATTATATGAATTAACATTCATTCATGAACAAAAAAGAAAGTTGAATAGAAAAATGTCGATGAGAGGGGGGAGGGGGTGGAAGAAGATATGAGTTATAACAGTTTTCTCATCGTTGTAACGAGGGAACTTGTATATGCAAAAGAATGTTTGGTGAGAAAGATAAAAAGTTGAGAAAAGGGTAAATTAATGTAGTATTTGAATGAATAAATAAGTAGTTAGATCGATTTTGAAACTTATTCAAATATTCAAACATAATTAACGATAAGAACTATTCTTCTTAGCCATATAAGGCTGAAAGAGAATTATTATTGGGTTTAACAGCTTTGATAAGCTTTTTCTCATGTAAACTTGGACTCGTTCAATCCGATTAATAACGATAATTTTCAATAAAATGATTGAAAAATGAAAATATTTGAAGGAAAATACCCCCGAAAAGTAACTTTTGTCCCTCTGATAGGCGAAAGCTCAACAATCGTTTTGGTGAATGAGTCATAATGTTCATCCGAAAGCTATTGTTTCCATGAAATATGCCCATATCAGCGAAAAAATGTGCTGTCTGGATAAAGTCAAAGGTGACACGAATGAATAGGAAAGTCAAAGAAACGAATAATGGTTGGTCGGTGAATATTGAGGAAAATGTTATCAAAAGGCTGGTTTGATCAAGAAAAATATAGTTTGCAGATGGCTTGGAGCAGCAAGACTGAAGAATGAATGTAATCGCTAAAAAGCCATAAAAGCACAAAGTCAAAGACATGAAACAGGCATTTGATGGCCAATGAAATATGATTTGAGAGCATTTCATGGATTATTATTGGCTAATGAATGATGTAAAGCATTCCAAGCATGTCATTGAACGAGCAAAACTTTATATATGCAAGAACTATCATCTAATCTATAAAAACAGTGTCCATGCTACAGATATCAGGAGGCGAACAAGAGGACGAATAAGGACAGAATGTGAAGGAATATCAGGTGAACAAACGACAATAAGAAAATGCAATTTCAACTGACTCGAAAATATGAAAAATTGAGATAGTAATTGTCAGAAATTCTCAAAATGATAGTAAAGCGATACGGTGATTTGCCTGATAACAGTTTAAAACTTTTATGTGAAATAAGGCTTCGTTATCTAACATTTCTTAAGATTTTTTTTAATCATTTTGTGGGAAGACAAATAAAAAGAAAAGAAAATTCACGAAAAATGTTTAAAAATTTTATTTTTTTTTTTTGGATAGATAATATGTGATTGTGGCTTGAGAAATTCATCAGAGGGGAAAGGGAAATGACCTTAAGATTTAATCAGACAAAAACAAATTGGTGGGACGGAATGAGAAATTCAAAAATTTCCTTTTAGAATTAAAAAAAAATTTTGAATTGAAAAGAGAATGGTAGAAAGGAGAGAGTGTCAGTAAGATAGAATAGAAGAGAAAGAGATGAAGAGTAAGCAAGTAAGTAAGATGGGGGAGGAAGAGCATGAAGAAATAGAATTTGTAAGGAAGTGACTGATGAGAGATTATTTAAAAATGAGAGAGAGCAAGAGAAGTAAAAGTTCAGAATTATACAGTTCTTATACTCATTTTGCTGTTTGATAATTGATATAAAAGATAAAAATGATAACAAGGTTTTGGTGGCGCCGAACAGAAGACGAAAGCTGTTTGTCAGGAAGAAGTGACAACGGTTTTTCAATAGCTCATAATGTAACACAAAATGAATCATAAGAAAGGAGAATTCATTAAAATTGAATGAAAACATTCAGATTACATGTTCTTATAAGGAATTCCTTTTTAAATGAACTATTCATGGGAGTTACCAATAATGATGAGAGCAAGTAACCGCGGGAGGGGGGGGGGGGGGAAGAAGGGAGTTGAAGATGGAGGTGAGTTGGCAAAAGAATGAACGTTGAAACAAGCATGAATGGAGATGAAAGTTGAAATAAATCATTCAAAAATATATTTGTTTTATAAAGAAACGTGTGAGAGAAAGGAAATATCCGCTTTTGATAAACAGTAATATCATAATTAATATAATAATCATATAGATAAGAAGAAGAGTGGGCTCATGATTAAAATAGATAAAATTATTCTTTAAAATGAAACTAAAAGTATGAAGAGAGAGAGAAAATATAGTAATGAGGAAGACAAAAAGTATGAACAAGTTGAAACTTGCAAATGATGTCATCTGAAGAAACAAAAAAATTAGAAACAAAAAAGGCGTGAATCTTCAAAGGAAATATACTATGCGCGATGAGATTTGAATATACGAGTGAGGAGGGTGGAGATGGGAGTTGGGTGTATGTTACAAATGGTTCGTGTTAAATCAAAACGAAAGCTACAAATGCAACCACACCCAGGTGAAGATTTCTCATGTTATGCTATTGGAATTTGAAATGGGCAAAAGTTGAAAACGATGACTGCAAAGACAGCCACGAACGATGAATGTGATGGAGATTGAAGACGATGAAATAAGAAAATCAATGTTCATCAAATAATCAGATGTATATATGAAAGAGTAAGAAAACTGTCAAATATCGTAAATGTGTTGAGAATCATAAAATTTTGATTGAAAAACGAACTAAAAGTTCCGAAAGATGAGCCATCGATGATTGTAAACGATGGAGTATTGTATAGAAAAATGATAAGATTCTATTAAAACTGTGAATAAGTTCCAACTTGACTAAATAAGATAACTTGAACAATATGAGGAAGGTAGGATGGCGAGAGAAAGGAGGAAAGGGCGAAAGAGGAGGGAGCGATAGGCAGTAGAACACATTCATATGAATGAATGAAGGTTTTATGAAAATAATGAAAACTATTGATTACCTGTATGGATCAATTCCTCTTCGCATCATCTTGAACTTATAATTTCATTATAATTTGAAAAAAAATAATAAAAACCAATCTGAAAGTATGAAATAATAATAAAAAAAAAACGAGATGGTAGAGAGCAAACGCGACCGCAACAAAGACGTCAAAAACGAAAAAAATGAAATCAATCGATATTCCAACGAGATTCGAGAGTTACGTGAAAAACGTGAAACAGGAAGAATAGGTTGTGCAAGTAATACAAATGGAATGAGATGATATACGACATGAAAGATTATGAAGAAGAATCAAATCAGCAGGTCTTCAAGTATTCAAAAGGGTGGATGATAATTTATCGTTTTGAATTTAAGGGTCATCCAAGGAAGCATCCTAGAAAAGGAGAAAGTCTTCTGAAGAAAAGAGAGTATAAGAGAATGCGAATGATGTTGAGAGATGAAAAGAGAGAAAGATAGCGATAGAGAGAGGGTATGAACGGAAATTTCAGGAGTTTTGAGTCTGATGGTGCAAAACGTCGAATGACAGAATGGGGACGATCAGAATGGTCAGTGAAATAACAAATGAACGAAAGCGATGATGATGATGAGACGACTGTTTGAGAACATTAGAAGGTTTCTTAAGTTTCATAAAAAAAATGAAAAAAAAGATAATTGGAAAAGACAATTTCATGTAAACGGCCAAGGGAAAGCGTATATCTTCAACAACACCATTGTTCGAACAACAAAAATTAGTTTTGAAATATGAAACGATCGTTGAGCCATATTTGGCAAAGAAAATATGAAAAACTGTTTGATTTGAATGATTTTCGAATACCTTTTTACTCAAAAAGTTGTCAAACCAAATTGGAAAAGATGGTGTTTAAAGAAGAAAATGAATGAAAAGTAAGAAAGAAAACATCAAGTTAGTGAAGGAAAGTAAACAGATGGTCAAACTGTATGATAAACCACACAACAGTGCTGTTATCGTCTGATTTGCAGCAAAATCTCCATTTTTTTATTTCATTAAAAACAACTCCAAAACTGACGTCATATGAAAATAGAGAGAGAGAGAGAGGGAGAAAGATATACGAGCTATATCGGCACATTGAACTAAGTCTTCTATCGTATAATATACATATATGGTTCTTGAGAATCTTTCTCGTTATCAAGTTATTGTTTCCTTCCCCGTAACTATTTAACTCTCAAAACTAATCGTAACTATTCTCTTGTACAGCTTTTCCTATTCTTTCACTCCCTTTTTTGGCTTCTCTTACTCTCTGAGTCTCGAAATTTTCTTTCTTTATCGCTTTTCATATGTTTGCTGATGAGTGATAGGGATGACGACAAGCCGTTCTTGAGCTTTTCGTCTTGTCACCAACCATCTTTTATTCTATCTTCACTCGTTCCTTTTCATGATCTTTCTCTTTTTGTTGTTGTTGTTGTTCTTTATATCCCTCTCTCGCTTCTCATCTCTCCCTCTCACCTTCTCCGAAATACAACAGATCAAACGATTTTGGAAGTTTCGATCAAAATTTTTTTATCCTCAACACGAAGGAAAAAAACTTTTTTTTTTCGACAAGATTCTTGCGATTGAAACTGAACAAAAGAAAATTCTTTGCTTTTATATGGAGAAAAGATTAATTGGCTGAAAAACGGAAGCTCATTGCGATCAAAAAAAAAAGCTCAGAAGCAGTGTTGCAAACGAAGGAGAAGCTGGAATAGCTAAGACAAAGAGCAGAAGTTGAAATTGTTGAAAAAATGTGAAAGGAAATGGAGAAAATGAAAAAAAAATAAAGGAAGAACCTTCGCATCATAACATCAGAGATGGGATGTTTATTATCATCTAATTTTCGTTTCATCTTATTATTCTTCTTCTCGAATTCTTTCGATTGGACGGTCAATTTTTGGGATGTTAGTTTTCTCCTCTCAAACCCTTTCATCTCTCTATCTCTCTCTCTCTTATTCGTTCTCCTCTCTACCTATCTTCCTCTCTCTCAATCTTAACTCCTAAGAAGGTCATTTTATCTTTCGCTGCAAAAGAAGTTACAGAAAATACAAAATGAATGACAACCAAAATGCATCCGATCATTCTAACAACCACAAATAAACGAATGGATAGGCAGAAGAAGACACATAACGAACATTTCAAAACTGGAATCTGTTGATGATGGAGAGAGGTGGAGGAGGAGGTGGAGGTGGGAGGGTTGGGCGAGCCTATGAAGACAGAGAAAGGAAAAAAGAGAGGTATTGAGATAGAGGGAAGTAGAGGGTAGTAGATATGAAGAGAAGAAGGGAAATGAAGCCATGATTGGCTTGAAACATACAAAAACTAATCCAAACTTCTGTGAAAACTCAATAAAGAAAGATCATTGCGGCTTCCTTCATCACAAAATTACAATAAAAAAAAAACTTTTCATTCCTTACTCAATTCAATTACGTTTGACGCTTCAATTCGTTTTATATTCTGTGAGATTGAGGAGACACTATCGTATGCAAGTTAGCAAGAAACACAAATTGAGATCAGATTCAAGGAAATTTGAATAATTTAAGAGAGAAATATTGGAAGAAATGATAATTTTTAGTGAATGCCGTCGTGTGGACGATGTTGTCGTCGTCGTCGTCGTCATCTCAGCCAGTTTCCATGCGGAGTGACGATGTTTGAGCTGACGACATTCCTAAGAGGATTAACCGAACACAATCAGAAGCTGAGTTTGAGGTTGGTGATGAACAAGAAATAAAACAAGAATATAGAAGACGCAAAAATTAAAATATATACATATATATTCACATAAAATACATGAAATCATTTGTTAATCGGTCTGAAAAAAAACTGAAAGAAAAATTTAAAATGAAAAAAGTTATGACCGGATTTGGTTATCAGACGTTCAAGGCTTGACTGACAAAAGGAAAGCCGTCCGAATGAAGAAGGAACGAAAAAAAAAACTTGGTCAAAACCTGTTCGAAAAGCTGAATAGGCGAATGGCAAAAGAGCCAAAAATGATTTATCTGTCTGAGAGGAGGAGAGAAAGATAGGGAGGTAGGGAGTGAAGCTTTTTTTTTTTCATGCCTCTAGCTTGTCTTCGTACTGATTATCACCTATGAAGAAAAGTGTGAAAGACATAAATCTTTGTGAAATGAATTTGAAAATTCGTAAAATGCAATGAAGGAAGCTTTCACGATATGATGATTGACAATTAGAAACTTGACATAAAAGGAAATTTCATTTATCAAATGTTGTCATGATCACTTCAATCAAATTTATCTCAGATTTATGATAGTTTCAAATGGGATTGGAATAGATATCATTATGATAAAACTGATAGAAGAGACATTGAACTACACAACACGGAGTAGGAGGAAGAGAGAGCAAAAGGGATAAATCTCTTGATGGAACACCAAAAACATTCACTGAAGTGATTTCGAACCAAATCTCAAACGATACTGTTCCGACTCTTTCCGAAGCCATTGAGCGTGATGAATATAGAGAGGAAGAAGACCAAGACGTGTTGTGTTATGAATGGAATATAATGAAAATGTTTTTTTTTTGCTTTTTTTTTTAAAACAATTTGTTGAATAATAACTTTTTAATAAAAAAAAGTAAGAAAAACAAAAGCTGTAAATTGCTGTGCAAATGAGAAATAGAGTTTTGATCGTTAAGGTGTAAGAGAAGGAGAGGAAAAAACAGATGAAAGGCTGGAAGACTAAGAAGTATTGTATGTAACACACAATGATTGACAATAGAACATCTACTTGTAGCTTACGACGGATGAACAAAAATAATTTTTACTGACAATCCAACCCAGAATGAACAGGTGAGAGTTTTAGAAGGGCAATGCTATGTGGTTGGAAATGGTTGAACGAACTATAGAAAGAAAGAAATTATACGAGAAAATTGTACGGAATAGGACATAGAGAGAGAAAGACAAAGAGAAGCAAAGAGACAGAGATAGAGAAAAAGAAGGAGGACGATCATCTGAATAAGAGAAGAGAACGATGGACAACCATCGCGGATGGACGACGCGCAACCAATCGATGGTCAATCTATTCTGGTATTTGCTCTAAGTCGTCTGCGGCAAAACAATGCATTTGTTTACATAACCTATTGACAAGTATTTGATTGACAAACAAACAAATCAGTGCCTTCGTTCAGTTTTCAATCACCTTTTACCTCCTTTCATGGTCATTAAGCTTTCATGAGTTAGCCATGGAGCTTATCAGTCGCACACACACACCCCCACACATACTTGCCCTGCTTGAAAAATTTTTAAAGTATGAAACGTACATTCTTTCGTTCTACTCTCGATATCGCTCATATATAGAGAGAGAGAGGGATAAATCTTCTTTCGTACTCTTTCTCTTTATCTTCTTTGGCAACAATGGAACGCCGCATCCTCTGCCAACTTTCCCAGCAGCAAAAAATGCTGGCAACACCGTGCGCATCTTCTAATTGTTTGAGACAGACACATTTGATTAAAATAAACAACTTTTTCATATTATTCTTATTAAATTTATGATAATGACCTTCTTGAGAGTACGAAAAACAAGAAATGAATTCACTAGTCGAGAAAGGTAAAAATATAAAAACCAACCGTTCTCCCGTCCCACAATATATTTGAATGAATTTTTTGTACGAAAATCGTTTTTAATTTTCGCGCCAAGATTTGCATAAGTTTCTACGTGAACGATCCTCTACAGGACTGTTTGTTTAGGCGAAACAGGTCGAGAAAATACAAAAAAGGGAGAAGTTAGTTTCGAAATTTCTCAATATAGTAAGTGTGATGACTGCAGAACGAGTAATAGAACTTGCTTGTATCATGACGTTCCTTTATCAGCCCAATGCTATTTAAGCTTTTAATAATTCCGTAAACGAGAAGAATGATAAACGTATAAGGGCGAGTGTAGGAAAACAGAAATTCCTTTCACATACACCTAAAGTTGATCTTCTTATGCATATGAATCATTGCTTTGCTTACTTCTTATCAGAGGAGCTTAAGGAATGTGAATGAGAAGCAAATTGTTCCTTTTGTGTTCTGCAGGAGCTTTTGCCTTTA